CAAAAAAAAAAGATTTCTTTGATATCTTATGCCATTGAGTTTGTATTGATACTCCAAGATTAAATTTTCAGGCATTTTTCTTCTAAATATTTTAGCCATTTCTTTTGTATCCTGTAATAACTTTCTGAGTACTTATATTTCTGCCATGTTCCCCCTTTCCTTTAATTTTTTTTTTAAAATTTTTCATATTAATACGAATGCACTACTGTGGTAATTCTTCTTCTATGGCTCTCCGGTCCGTATTCGGTCCATGGCCTCCTCAAGTCTCCTCTTCCATTTGGTCCTCTGTTAGGTCTGTCTGTCCGAGGCTTTGATTGCGGTTTCGAAACAGCTTCCTCTTTACGGTGCAAGGTTGTTAGCCTTGCGACCAACCCCCAACCTGGAGGATCAGGGTACCTGTCTTAGTCTGACCTCTCCCTCTCGACCAATCTGTCTAGGGAGGCTCTACCAGTAGCTCTTGGGGTCACCGAGGTACTCGAGCCCCACCACCACGACAAGGTGCAGGTACCGTTAAGTGGGGACTGTGATAATCGCTGTGTAAAATTTTAGTAAATTATGTTTTTGGCATTTTCATATTTATATTTCTGCTTCAGATGTTATGAAATCTCTGATATTATCCATCACCAAGGTGAGACTATCGAGTCTCTCGGGAAATTAAGTCAGTCTTTATCGTACGCTGCTCTCATGTCGCGTTACTATGTTCTGGCCGATCATCTCCTTAAAATACAGATTTGAGTGTCAACAGTAATCGCACGTCTTCAATCCACTGAGTTTATCCATTTTTCCACCAGATTGAGCAAGAACTGGGCGTGACGCTGTTAATGATCAACATTGACGAGTGTCTGATAGAAAAGGCGTCGTGCGAAACGTCTTGCACGAACTTCCTTACCAAGAGCAATGTGCCGTCTGCCGTGTACACCAACACCACTTCTTTCGTGGGTGTCCGTGCTGTTGTGGATCCGATGTGCACGTGTAGTGTGCCCGAACCGCTGGTGTGCCTGAATGGTGGTACTCCAATTGGAACAATGTTAGTAATGCGTACCTCAATTGTCTGTGATTTTTGTTATTATTTACGCTTGAGATAATTTATTATTTTATGTGAAATTATATGCTTGAGAAATCTGTCGACTACCTGAGAAGATGTTTTCGTCTCAGAAAAGTACTGCTCCGTGGAGTTAACGTTACTTCTACATGTGCTGACTCCACCATATCATAAGAGTTTAAAACAGAAAAGAATGTTTTAAGTATTTTTTATGAATTGACAGTTTAGTAGTTATATTTTGAGAAAAATATATAAAAAAAAATTTCTGTGGTATATCCAAGTATTTTGTGTTTACGTTTCAGGTGTGAATGCATGGAAGGATATGAAGGTCCGCATTGTGAGATCATTGGCGTCGGTTTTTACGGCAGTGGGTGGGCGTTGTACCCGACAATTGCCGCGTGCGACGAGGCTCGTTTGACTCTCGAACTGGCCCCGCACAGGGAAGACGGACTGGTGTTCTATGTCGGCCCAATGGTTCCTAATCCATCGCTGGATGTACGAGGTAAAAAGATGTTATTACCTCGGACCTGACGTCTGAGATGCGTTGATCATTTCATGTTTCAGCGACACTTGCATATTTATTTTCCGCAGACTTCATGTCGTTGGAGATAGAGAGAGGTTACGCACGACTCTTGGTGGATTATGGAACTGGCACAGTCATGGTTGAGCAGCGGCAGATCAGATTGACTGATGGAAAATCACACAGAGTCGACATATTATGGAGCAAGACGGTAGGTGACTTCTCTAGTGAAGGGCGGTATTATTACCAGTTAGTAAATTTTACGTCAGATTATTGCAATTCAAATAGCCATCGTCATGATTTTAGAAGAAGAAGAAGAAAAATGTAAAGTAAAAAACTGTCTTAACGGGAAAGGATAGTATCTTCATGTTAAAAGTATTTAATGTTATAAAATGTTGAAAATTTTAAATTGTATTAATATAATGGTTATGTATTTTGTAGTTCAGTAGCACATTTTTTTAGATTTGATGCAACATTAAAAATAAATTCTTCAAATTCTTTATTTTAACCTTTCAGTCAAGTTTCTTTTTCTGAAGAATATGGAGGAGCAACTGATATTTATTTATAAAAATATAATCCCTACATTACTAAACACAACATGCTATGAGAACAAACTCTGGATATTGAATACGAAATTTTTCATCAATCTTATGTATAATTTGTCGTATTTGAACAGAACCGTTTGTTTTTGCAGAGTATCGAGCTAAAGGTCGACAATTGTCAGATGAGTTCTTGCCTCTCGCTTACAACACCTCAGGGACCCAATGAATTCCTCAATGTTAACGGACCTTTACAACTGGGTGGAACTATTGTGAATTTGAACGATGTCGCTAACGGCATGAACTGGACGCACAGGCCCACGAGTCTGAACTTTGCTGGCTGTATACGTAACCTCACAGTAAATGACAAGGTAACGCGAAACAGGCAGTATGATTACGCAGCGGAAGCAAAACGGGCATAATATTAAATGAATCGTGCTGAATATGAGTTTGTGCTTCATCTTCGTGTAGTATGGAATGTCCGTTTAAAAATCTGAAGTTAAATTTTGTTCGGTACATTCTGAGTGATGGTAGAATATCTTTTTGTTTCCACCATTTATGAAATTGTGTTTATCTACGAGTATTCATGTGCGTCTGCACAGATGTGTACGTATAAAATAATTTTTTTGTGCGTAACTGGGCCCATGCCATTAGTTCCAGGATGCTTTAGCCACTCCCCTCTCCTTTTTTTTTTTTTTTGTGAAAATTTGCCCTGCATTTTTTGTCCACAGACATTTCTTCAAATATTTTTCAACCAAATTTATATCTGTTCTGCATATTTAACATGGGCTTCATTTGTATTCTTGAGATGCTGGGGTCGTAATATTGTTCAGTATTAATGAGGATAGAAGAAACAGTTGTTTAACTACTGCTGTATTGCCCATGATACATTAGAATTGCATTTGTTACTATAGATATCATTGCAATTTAAGTTATTGAGCACGTCGTGAAATTAAGACGTATAATCAACATTTAATAATGTATAGTTTTGTTCAGGGCAATAAAAACATATATGGGGGTCACACTTTCTGTGTGTTTTTCTAAAAAAAAAATTTAGAGGCCACACTCTGATGCAGAAATAAAACAAATTGAACAAAAGAGTTATGAACGCGTGAATTTTATACATAGAATAAGCAGGATTGTACAGTTACTGAATAAACATTTGATTGCCTTAGAAGTGTAGTCGATTACCAGTTACGTTTTCACCCGTGTTTATCAGACGTACAACTTGGGGGAACCAAGTGACAGCAAGGACGTGGATCCGGGCTGCAGCAGAGGTGTGGCACGAGCCGTGTCGTTCGGTATCAACACGAATTTCCTTGTGGCCATTTTAGTCTGCATTGCCATCTTGTTAAGTGAGTACAACTCCGAGGTACTTTTGCGCCGAGTCTTGGCTTACCTTGCCATACCATAACTATAATTTTCTTTTGTGCTTCTGGTTAAAACAAGAGTAGGAATAAAATTTTTTTTATGGGAGCACCCAGCGGATGGGATTTTAATTTTGTCTTTGGTGGTAGAATTTATTATCGTCTGACTGAGGGAACCCGCACGTTGGGGGCGTAGCAGTATTCCTCACATAGACTAGAATTTTGGATGTTTTCTTACTCACAAACATTGAATTTTGTGAAAAATTTTCAGTCTTGTTATTGGCCGTGGTTGTCCACCGTCGTAAGACAGATGACCTTTACAAAGACACAGATGACATCCGCGAGAACATCATAAACTATGAGGACGAAGGTGGCGGCGAGGGAGACATGACAGGTTATGACCTTAACGTGTTGCGTCTCCTGTATGACGACGGCGGTCAGCCAATGCTGGGGAAGGAGCCATTGAAGGCGCCACTTGTAGGACGAGGAGGTAAGTGTCTAGAAGTGCCTGCGAGTGTATTCTGACTAGGGATTGTCTTCGCCATTTGAGATTTTATCACGAATTTAAGAAAAAAAAAAATTCAATGGGGAGATCTGAGGACTCCATCAAAGTTCTCTCTTTCTGATGAACTCTGTAAGAAAGTTGCGGTAGATTTAAGATAAAAACAGTGATATTATTTGTAATCGTATTTATAGCGCCAGATGAAGTACCTGATATCTGCGGATTCCTTGACGGCAAGAAAAAAGTGTGCGACAATGATCCAGAAACAAATCCATTTGATGATGTCCGCCATTACGCGTATGAAGGTGATGGAAATACTACAGGTTCACTGTCCTCATTGGCGTCTGGTGAGTTTTGAGGTGTTTTCTTATCGACGTACTTAATGTATCTCAGTGCCCAGACAGTCTACTTAAATTTTGTTACATTTAACATTTTACTCTTCATTTTGTTTTGCAACCAATAGACGGATTTGTATTAGACGGTACCGCAGCGTTTTGTTGGCTTATCTTGAACTCCTATAAGATCCATCCTCCCATCTATGCCCAGGTCTTCCAAGTGATCTCTTCACTTCAGGCTTCCCAACTAATATTTTTGTACGCATTTCTCATCGTCCCCTGTGTGTGTCTCAGTTAACTTCTTTGGTGTTTTTATGTTGTCAATGTAACGTCTGTTCTTAGGTACTGATGAAGGTGATTTGAACTTCGACTACCTTTCAAATTTTGGGCCACGATTCCGCAAGTTAGCAGATATGTATGGCGAAGATCCGAGCGATGAAGACGACGAGAATTTTAACACACCGGCCTCAGAATCGTGGTGCTGAGCCTTCACCAGTCTGGCCAACCAACACCACAAATACAGTAACAATTGACCTGGGATTTATCCTATGAGAATAGACGTGTTGGAATTCAGGACAAGCCATTGTGTTTCTTAATATTTGTGCTAAAGGACGCTGAAGTAATTCCACTTCACATTAACAGGTACACATTGGTTAAAAAAAATGGCTATCCAGGTGTTCAGTATAGAAGCAACTCCTCTAATTGTGTTACATAACATTGTCATATATCTTATGCTCTTTGGCAAGTTATGATCGAGCGTTGGGACAGATTGCTATAATGCACTTACCGTGGGACTGTGAGTGTAGTTCTTTTATTTTAATCATGTACGTCCTGCGACCGATTCACGCGCGTGTAGAGTGCCAAATAATTTTCGCACGCAGCAATCCAGCACCGTGCCACCATCGCAGCCAGCCACCTTAAGAGAAGTGAACAGAAAAATTCTCGCACGAGGATATTTTTACGCAGTGTACGTGAAGTCCGTCGCGTCAGATAGGCCAAATGTGTTTAAACATGAGACTAATTTTCTTCAGCGCTTGTACCGAAGTGCTAGGAATGATTTTTGTATCGAAATAAAATCTTGGCTCAAATGTAAGGAGTCCAGGTTTCAAAATGTCGGACATTCCAATAGCAGAAACATCTTTTTTATAAAGTAAAAAGTACTTAAGATAGTATTTAGTGTTAGAGTCGTCAAGAAACAAGCCTTTTGAATTAAAGTGAAAGAATGTTCTTTAGCGTACCAAAGAGATGTAATGTCGCGTAGTATTCGAAGGAATACGGACGTAGCGAATGAATGAGAGCAAAGTGGTCTCAATATTTGCCAGCTGCTGTACTTGTCCTGCCATTTGAACGAGTCGTGCTTATTTAAACATGTGCGTCGTTTCAAATCGCCGATGAAAATCAGCTCGGCTATCGTCTTTTTTCCTGCATAGGATGGGATGCGAGTATAAGTGAAGTCTATCATTTCGTTTTGATCCTTGGTAATGCGTAGTTCCTTCGGCCGTGATGTAAAGGATCATGAAGTTTTGTTCTCGTTTAATTGGCGATCCATCGTGTAGATGCGTCTCGCAGATACCAGAACATTTTCATTTGTATATTGAAATCATAAACGTAAGCAGACTTATATGAAGTGATCATTTTAGAATCTAATTGAATTAAGTGAATCAATAAAATCAAGAATTTCTTTCGTGAAGATGAGGAAATAATGCCGTGTGCCTTTCCACTAGTTACGAAGCAGGCTAGTCAGGCAAAATGGAGAACATAATTTTTTTTTTTCAAGTGATTTGTTTCCAGAATATTTGTACATGTCTACGGATTTGAAAAGAATGAACGAGGTCTTTTTCTTGTATGTTTGCGTGTGTGTGTGTGTAAAATTGGTGCTGTGAATTTATTGATTTTAAAATCTGTTTTATCGTGTGGAGTAACTCGGCATCTCTTGTGGAATACTGTGACATTTGTTTTGTGGCGATAATTGAAGGAAGGGGTTAAAAACATGAAGTTCCGATCACTGAAAAATGGAACTTTTTTTTTTTTTTGTACGCACATCGATTTTGAGTGCATCGGTCGGTCAGAGCGGAGCGAGCGGTTACCTTGTTTGTGCCTGCTTTGGCGATGGATACAGTCAAGTTGAATAAGCCCATAAAAAGTGATGCGGCACCTTAATTACTGATGCGCGTGTTAACAAGCCACTTCTTCTTCGAACGTAATTAATCAAGAAGTTATTTTCAGTTGCTTGCAGATGTACGTACTTAAAAATAATGGCAGCAAACTAATTTATTGTGATTACTTTTAGTTTCATCTGTACTTTTATAGAAAATAACAATTAATCATATTTTAAAATGCATTAATTTCTAGTCCTGTGAGGTAAGAGAAAGGACCTTTTTTTTTGTCACATGTTCCTTACAATCAAGTTTCATAAACGTAGGATTTGAGGTTTTCGCCGCGGTGAGTCTGAAGACGGCCGTCTTCTGGGTTGTTGCACCGTGTAGTCTGGCGGAAGTTCACCGACGTCTTAGAGGTCCTTGCTGCGTATATCATCGGGGCGATGAGTGAATTGCCCTGATGATGGAGGCAGCAAGGACCTCTGAAACTTTGGTAAACTTCTGCCATAAAAGGCGCAGCAACCCAGAAGACGGCCGTCTTAAGTTTCATAAAGTCAGTTTGCAAAGTCGTACATACAGACCAAGAATATTCTTTCTCAGACCACAATTTAATAAATAGTTCGGACTCGTTTATCCTTTTATAGTATTTATTGGACTGATATATTATTAAAAAAATGGCAAATAATCTTGGTAAGGTAAATCAGATTCGGAGATTGAGCCGGGTTGGAATTGTGGCTAACGATTAGGCACGAAAGCAAACGTGTGAAATTCCAGCGTTTTTGTCTTCGTTTGAGGTTACGTGAGCAGAAACATGAAGGATCACATTATTTTCTGATTTGTGATTGTGATTGTGCTAGTGGCTGCTTAGTTTTTTACGTAGAATTTCTTGCTTTCAGTTTCCAAGTATTGATATTTGAAGTAGAAAACTGGATTATATTTGTTCAGCGCTGGGAATCTGCGCAGCCTACGGTGAAGAAGGGGAAATTTTAAAGAAGTCGAGCGTATTATTTATAGGCGGCGCAAGAAACGTGAGAATCCGCTTCAGAAATCAGATAAAGAATTTAAGCCCAAGTAAAGTAACGTTCCGTGGATGACGTTAGGTGATGAAGAATGTCGTTACGATAGTGGCGTATTATTATTATTATTTTATTTTGTGTTGTAGACTGAAATACATTATTTACAAAAATTTCAAGTATTTATTGGACTGATATATTATTAAAAAAATGGCAAATAATCTTGGTAAGGTAAATCAGATTCGGAGATTGAGCCGGGTTGGAATTGTGGCTAACGATTAGGCACGAAAGCAAACGTGTGAAATTCCAGCGTTTTTGTCTTCGTTTGAGGTTACGTGAGCAGAAACATGAAGGATCACATTATTTTCTGATTTGTGATTGTGATTGTGCTAGTGGCTGCTTAGTTTTTTACGTAGAATTTCTTGCTTTCAGTTTCCAAGTATTGATATTTGAAGTAGAAAACTGGATTATATTTGTTCAGCGCTGGGAATCTGCGCAGCCTACGGTGAAGAAGGGGAAATTTTAAAGAAGTCGAGCGTATTATTTATAGGCGGCGCAAGAAACGTGAGAATCCGCTTCAGAAATCAGATAAAGAATTTAAGCCCAAGTAAAGTAACGTTCCGTGGATGACGTTAGGTGATGAAGAATGTCGTTACGATAGTGGTGTATTATTATTATTATTTTATTTTGTGTTGTAGACTGAAATACATTATTTACAAAAATTTCAGCAGTAGGAAGTAAATATTTTTGCGGTCTGAGCATCTAATTATGGATTACCATTACAAATTTTTATAATTAAAGGTGGGTTGAATGTAACACAATGCCTTAGCATAATGCCATTTCCTCATCAGCAAACATGATCGTTAT